CTGACAGTGTGGTGTGAGGCATGCCATGGCTGACAGTGTGGTGTGAGGCATGCCATGGCTGACAGTGTGGTGTGAGGCATGCCATGGCTGACAGTGTGGTGTGAGGCACGCCATGGCTGACAGCGTGGTGTGAGGCACGCCATGGCTGACAGTGTGGTGTGAGGCATGCCATGGCTGACAGTGTGGTGTGAGGCACGCCATGGCTGACAGTGTGGTGTGAGGCATGCCATGGCTGACAGTGTGGTGTGAGGCACGCCATGGCTGACAGTGTGGTGTGAGGCATGCCATGGCTGACAGTGTGGTGTGAGGCACGCCATGGCTGACAGTGTGGTGTGAGGCACGCCATGGCTGACAGCGTGGTGTGAGGCATGCCATGGCTGACAGTGTGGTGTGAGGCACGCCATGGCTGACAGCGTGGTGTGAGGCACGCCATGGCTGACAGTGTGGTGTGAGGCATGCCATGGCTGACAGTGTGGTGTGAGGCATGCCATGGCTGACAGTGTGGTGTGAGGCATGCCATGGCTGACAGTGTGGTGTGAGGCATGCCATGGCTGAAAGTGTGGTGTGAGGCATGCCATGGCTGACAGTGTGGTGTGAGGCATGCCATGGCTGACAGTGTGGTGTGAGGCATGCCATGGCTGACAGTGTGGTGTGAGGCACGCCATGGCTGACAGTGTGGTGTGAGGCATGCCATGGCTGACAGTGTGGTGTGAGGCACGCCATGCCTGACAGTGTGGTGTGAGGCATGCCATGGCTGACAGTGTGGTGTGAGGCATGCCATGGCTGACAGTGTGGTGTGAGGCACGCCATGGCTGACAGTGTGGTGTGAGGCATGCCATGGCTGACAGTGTGGTGTGAGGCACGCCATCCCTGACAGTGTGGTGTGAGGCATGCCATGGCTGACAGTGTGGTGTGAGGCATGCCATGGCTGACAGTGTGGTGTGAGGCATGCCATGGCTGACAGTGTGGTGTGAGGCATGCCATGGCTGACAGTGTGGTGTGAGGCATGCCATGGCTGACAGTGTGGTGTGAGGCATGCCATGGCTGACAGTGTGGTGTGAGGCATGCCATGGCTGACAGTGTGGTGTGAGGCATGCCATGGCTGACAGTGTGGTGTGAGGCACGCCATGGCTGACAGTGTGGTGTGAGGCATGCCATGGCTGACAGTGTGGTGTGAGGCACGCCATGGCTGACAGTGTGGTGTGAGGCACGCCATGGCTGACAGTGTGGTGTGAGGCATGCCATGGCTGACAGTGTGGTGTGAGGCATGCCATGGCTGACAGTGTGGTGTGAGGCATGCCATGGCTGACAGTGTGGTGTGAGGCATGCCATGGCTGACAGTGTGGTGTGAGGCATGCCATGGCTGACAGTGTGGTGTGAGGCATGCCATGGCTGACAGTGTGGTGTGAGGCATGCCATGGCTGACAGTGTGGTGTGAGGCACGCCATGGCTGACAGCGTGGTGTGAGGCACGCCATGGCTGACAGTGTGGTGTGAGGCATGCCATGGCTGACAGTGTGGTGTGAGGCATGCCATGGCTAACAATGTGGTGTGAGGCATGCCATGGCTGACAGTGTGGTGTGAGGCATGCCATGGCTGACAGTGTGGTGTGAGGCACGCCATGGCTGACAGCGTGGTGTGAGGCACGCCATGGCTGACAGCGTGGTGTGAGGCACGCCATGGCTGACAGTGTGGTGTGAGGCATGCCATGGCTGACAGTGTGGTGTGAGGCATGCCATGGCTGACAGTGTGGTGTGAGGCATGCCATGGCTGACAGTGTGGTGTGAGGCACGCCATGGCTGACAGCGTGGTGTGAGGCACGCCATGGCTGACAGTGTGGTGTGAGGCATGCCATGGCTGACAGTGTGGTGTGAGGCATGCCATGGCTGACAGTGTGGTGTGAGGCATGCCATGGCTGACAGTGTGGTGTGAGGCACGCCATGGCTGACAGTGTGGTGTGAGGCATGCCATGGCTGACAGTGTGGTGTGAGGCACGCCATGGCTGACAGTGTGGTGTGAGGCACGCCATGGCTGACAGCGTGGTGTGAGGCATGCCATGGCTGACAGTGTGGTGTGAGGCATGCCATGGCTGACAGTGTGGTGTGAGGCATGCCATGGCTGACAGTGTGGTGTGAGGCATGCCATGACTGACAGTGTGGTGTGAGGCACGCCATGGCTGACAGTGTGGTGTGAGGCATGCCATGGCTGACAGTGTGGTGTGAGGCATGCCATGGCTGACAGTGTGGTGTGAGGCATGCCATGGCTGACAGTGTGGTGTGAGGCACGCCATGGCTGACAGTGTGGTGTGAGGCATGCCATGGCTGACAGTGAAGTGTGAGGCACGCCATGGCTGACAGTGTGGTGTGAGGCACGCCATGGCTGACAGTGTGGTGTGAGGCACGCCATGGCTGACAGCGTGGTGTGAGGCATGCCATGGCTGACAGTGTGGTGTGAGGCACGCCATGGCTGACAGCGTGGTGTGAGGCACGCCATGGCTGACAGTGTGGTGTGAGGCATGCCATGGCTGACAGTGTGGTGTGAGGCATGCCATGGCTGACAGTGTGGTGTGAGGCATGCCATGGCTGACAGTGTGGTGTGAGGCATGCCATGACTGACAGTGTGGTGTGAGGCACGCCATGGCTGACAGTGTGGTGTGAGGCATGCCATGGCTGACAGTGTGGTGTGAGGCATGCCATGGCTGACAGTGTGGTGTGAGGCATGCCATGGCTGACAGTGTGGTGTGAGGCACGCCATGGCTGACAGTGTGGTGTGAGGCATGCCATGGCTGACAGTGAAGTGTGAGGCACGCCATGGCTGACAGTGTGGTGTGAGGCATGCCATGGCTGACAGTGTGGTGTGAGGCACGCCATGGCTGACAGTGTGGTGTGAGGCATGCCATGGCTGACAGTGTGGTGTGAGGCATGCCATGGCTGACAGTGTGGTGTGAGGCACGCCATGGCTGACAGTGTGGTGTGAGGCACGCCATGGCTGACAGTGTGGTGTGAGGCATGCCATGGCTGACAGTGTGGTGTGAGGCATGCCATGGCTGACAGTGAAGTGTGAGGCATGCCATGGCTGACAGTGTGGTGTGAGGCATGCCATGGCTGACAGTGTGGTGTGAGGCATGCCATGGCTGACAGTGTGGTGTGAGGCATGCCATGGCTGACAGTGAAGTGTGAGGCATGCCATGGCTGACAGTGTGGTGTGAGGCATGCCATGACTGACAGTGAAGTGTGAGGCATGCCATGGCTGACAGTGTGGTGTGAGGCACGCCATGGCTGACAGTGTGGTGTGAGGCATGCCATGGCTGACAGTGTGGTGTGAGGCATGCCATGGCTGACAGTGAAGTGTGAGGCATGCCATGGCTGACAGTGTGGTGTGAGGCATGCCATGGCTGACAGTGTGGTGTGAGGCATGCCATGGCTGACAGTGTGGTGTGAGGCATGCCATGGCTGACAGTGTGGTGTGAGGCATGCCATGGCTGACAGTGTGGTGTGAGGCATGCCATGGCTGACAGTGTGGTGTGAGGCATGCCATGGCTGACAGTGTGGTGTGAGGCACGCCATGGCTGACAGTGTGGTGTGAGGCATGCCATGGCTGACAGTGTGGTGTGAGGCACGTCATGGCTGACAGTGTGGTGTGAGGCATGCCATGGCTGACAGTGTGGTGTGAGGCATGCCATGGCTGACAGCGTGGTGTGAGGCATGCCATGGCTGACAGTGTGGTGTGAGGCATGCCATGCCTGACAGCGTGGTGTGAGGCATGCCATGGCTGACAGTGAAGTGTGAGGCTCACCAACTATGTTAGAGGTGTGAGGTATCTCACAATCTATATATATAAATACCTCCTAGACGAGAGCCTCATTCAAACCACCATAATATGCTTGACTCTGAAATCAAAGCTGCTCCTGTGAGCCCTTGTGTGAATCTCCTTACAGACTTGAGTAACATTTTGCGAGAACTGGAACTGAGATCTGAGATCAAGAGTTAGAAAAAACTTCTGAGACCAAGAGCTAGAAGAAACTTCTGAGATCAAGAGTTAGAAGAAACTTCTGAGATCAAGAGTTAGAAGAAACTTCTGAGATCAAGAGTTAGAAGAAACTTCTGAGATCAAGAGTTAGAAGCACCTGAGGTGTTATATAAACCATATGTACAGTCTCCTCCTGTTTATATTTCGGTAAACGTCTATGTAATTTCAGTTGTGTATATGGAATACAAAATATGATGATGTAAGAAATGATATTTTAAAATTATTACTAATATTTTTTTTTTGTATTTGCATTCTGATGAAAAAAAAACTCAAATTTTTCTGTAAATTGAGTTTTTTTACCTGTAAATTTACAATTATAAATGTACAATCATTTATAATAGTTTGTATTGTATTTGATTGTACACAATAGGTTCCAATGTCCAGAGGAAGGTTGTGAAGCGTTTGTTGATAAGCGCTATATTGTGTTTGTTATCTTAAGCGAAGCCTGGTATCTAAGGTCATACGCGTTGAACGAGCGCATTGTTATCCGTCCTCCGGTTGTACATCATTGTTCCGGCTAGAAGAGCGGGTAACTATCTCTGCGTCCTGTAGTGCGTCAGGTGATGCGTCTTGTTATTCATGCGTCAGGTGATGCGTCTTGTTATTCATGCGTCAGGTGTTGCGTCTAGTTATTCATGCGTCGGGTGTTGCGTCTAGTTATTCATGCGTCGGGTGTTGCGTCTAGTTATTCATGCGTCGGGTGTTGCGTCTAGTTATTCATGCGTCAGGTGTTGCGTCTAGTTATTCATGCGTCGGGTGTTGCGTCTAGTTATTCATGCGTCGGGTGTTGCGTCTAGTTATTCATGCGTCGGGTGTTGCGTCTAGTTATTCATGCGTCGGGTGTTGAGTCTAGTTATTCATGCATTGGGTGTTGCGTCTAGTTATTCATGCGTCAGGTGATGCGCACTGGTACTCATGCGTGTGGTGGGAAGTGGTTCATGAATCAAGTGGAGTGCGTAGTGACTCAAGCGCTCAGTGTGATGCGCTGGTACGCATTCTTAATTTATAGTTATAGGTGACAAGTGCGGCATGTGGAGCGTAGCGCGCACCGGCCGAGTGTGGAGCGTAGCGCACACCGGCCGAGTGTGGAGCGTAGCAAGCACCGGCCGAGTGTGGAGCGTAGCGCACACCGGCCGAGTGTGGAGCGTAGCGCACACCGGCCGAGTGTGGAGCGTAGCAAGCACCGGCCGAGTGTGGAGCGTAGCGACCACCGGCCGAGTGTGGAGCGTAGCGCACACCGGCCGAGTGTGGAGCGTAGCGACCACCGGCCGAGTGTGGAGCATAGCAAGCACCGGCCGAGTGTGGAGCGTAGCGCACACCGGCCGAGTGTGGAGCGTAGCGACCACCGGCCGAGTGTGGAGCGTAGCGAGCACCGGCCGAGTGTGGAGCGTAGCGCACACCGGCCGAGTGTGGAGCGTAGCGACCACCGGCCGAGTGTGGAGCGTAGCGCACACCGGCCGAGTGTGGAGCGTAGCGACCACCGGCCGAGTGTGGAGCGTAGCGAGCACCGGCCGAGTGTGGAGCATAGCGTGCACCGGCCGAGTGTGGAGCGTAGCGAGCACCGGCCGAGTGTGGAGCATAGCGTGCACCGGCCGAGTGAGGGGCGTATAGCCACCCATGCATCCGGTCTACACTTCTCCATGAAAAAAAGTTAACACATTTGTCAAGTGAAACGTTTAGGGAAAGGTAAACATTACACCTGAATAATAAATACCAGCATACCTGTTGGAACACACATGAAAGCAAGACGCTCTTGGAGTGAAGGTTAACTAGGAGCCCAACATCTCTAGGGGCGCCAACCCTGTTACCCAGTGTGGGCAGGACACTGAGCAGGACATGGCTACACTGAACAGTTCCCCAGGGGCTCCACGAGGCTAGGGGGGGCCCCCATGAGGCTAGGGAGGGCGCCCCCCACGAGGCTAGGGGGGGCCCCCATGAGGCTAGGGAGGGCGCCCCCCACGAGGCTAGGGGGGCCCTGTTGCCATATTGTGCATAAGGGATATCTTGGCAAAGTGGATTATTATTCGACCTTCTGCAGGAAAGGCCTGGGATTCAAATCTTTTTTGAAATGATATTTATATTATAATGTGTGTATTACTATTGGTGGTAATCCTTCACTTGAGCGGTAGGGTGGGACCCATTATGTGAATACAGACCCCAGTGCCCATCATTTGCGTAGAGTAGTGGAAACCCAGACTTACATTGGCTTTTTTAGAGGTTGGTTCCAGGAGGGAGGAGGTCCATCTTTCCCCCACAGTCGGCTCTGATACCAGGGGGGGGGGGGCGGTTCATTTTTTTCGACGGTAGCTTCTAGCTCAAGGGGGGGAGGGAATTTTTATTTTTCGTATTATTTATCAAGTTCGCCCTTCCATCATATATATGTTTCCCAAAGGGGAATATAAACAGCTCCCTTCTAGTCCCTGATATTTGGATCATGGGGATTGAAAGGCCGCCTCCCGTCATGCTGAAATACAGTTAGCTCAGTGACCCACACAGACACAGCTCAAGCTTAATGGTCAATGTCATCAGCCAGTCAGTCTTCATTCAGCAAGTTCCGTTTTCTATCATAGCGTATTTAACCCCATGTTCATATATATTCCCATTTTCAAAGATTATTTCTAGCCAAGATCACATATTGAGGTTAAAAATGAAATTGCAGAAGGACTTTTGTAAGGAGCATTACAGTGTCTCCTATGTACTTCCTGTCAAACATCAACTGTCACTATGAGTTAAACTGCAGAAAAACTCATGTATAAGAAACCAGGAAAAATAGAATAATGTACACACCTGTATTTACCCATATCATTACCAAATATATTATAAAAACTTATCTAATGCTTAATAATACCCCTATTGTTATCTCTTATATCTGTTTTATACCATTCAAACATGTCACCAATATAAACTGCAAAAGATTCACCAACTATAGAATATTCACCTAAGTATAGAATAGCTTATTTGTTCAAATACTTGTAGTTGAGACTAATTTAAATGCATAAAAAAGATTGTCTATACTCCCAGTTCCCATATTTTCCCCTCAGTCCCTAAAGCGAAGATCATTACTCAACGTCCTGTTGAAGTCTCCAGCCGAGCTTCCCATATCGTACTTTCATGTCTAAAATATATAATTCTTGAAACAAGCTGTGTCAACACACAGACGTTTCATTTTTAAAATCCTCCTTCAATGCTAATCCCTAATATATATATATATATATATATATATATATATATATATATATATATATATATATATATATATATATATATATATATATATATATATATATATTATATATATATATATATATATTATATATATATATATATATATATTATATATATATATATATATATATATATATATATATATATATATATATATATATATATATATATATATATATATATATATATATATATATAACTATGTATATACCAGTTGCGTTGCTCCTGGCAGTATGGGTTCGAGTCACTTCTGTGGTGTGAGTTTTCAGTCATATATATATATATTAATCATATCCCCTCCTCTGGTAATAGAGGTTAGGGTCGAGAAGGGATGGTTGTATGGTTGTGAACAAAATACATGGTTAAGAATATGATGCAATATTAAACCAAGATCCAAGTATCAGAGGTAAGGTCCAGGACGGTTGGCTTGATGCACAAACAATATTTTCCCCAATGGGAGGGGGGAATGGGGAGCCCCAGACACCCTCACACCGGCTTCCCACACCTCAGTTGTGTGGGTGATTGGGGCAACGGTCGTGTGATGATTGGCTTGGTCGTGTGACTCCGGCTTCTGCTTTCTTGACATTCAGCTCATTCTTGTGATTCTCCCTTCACCATTTCTTAGCCCATTCTTATTGACACTTCACGGACGCTGAGAACATTGTTTCAGATGTCTCTCTGGCTCAGTACTTAGTTTCCATCTATGACCCTTGTTAGTGTACTAGCCATGATAAATACTGTCCTTGGGTGGCAGGTCTATTCCTCTGAATATTTTGTATATGGTAATTATGCCCCCCTTTCTGTCTAATCTTCCAGTCATATGAGGTTAAACTCCTTCAGTCTTTCCTTGCAGCTCATTTCTGTCGGTTCTGAGGCGAATCTCGTGGGAAGTTTCTGATCTTTCTCCTACTTCTTTTTGTGTTTAACTAAAAGAGGATTCCACGCGTGTGCTGTATATTCCACAACTAGTCTGTATTAGACAATATACGAGATCTACAAAGACTCCATGTACAGATTTAGAAAGGCAGTTGTTATGTTGCCAAGCTTGCGTATGCGCTGTTTGAGTCAAACTCTAGTAGCCACTTGACGGGGTATAGTTTCTTTCGGTTCAGGTCCTGTAGTTTCATGCGATCTTTTAATATATTTATCCTCATAATTTGTGCATAGTCGCCGAAAATTTATATGAAGGGATTTATCCCCCTGTGATATAATCCCTTGAAAACCCCCTGTAAATCACTTCACTGGGGATTTATCCCCTGTGGTAGGTCGGTGACAGAGTTGAGGATAGGATCATGACACAGCACTTACAGTTGTGTGATGTGTGACAACCTGCCGTCACTCCCAGGTCTCTCCTCGCACTATCACTCCTGCTCTTCTCTTACACATGGGGTTCTTTACCCACTGCTGACCAGCCTTCATGTACGCCGCTGATGATATTAGTGCCACATGTGACTCTGGGGTCAAGTTTGGAGTGCTTGAAATCCTAGGTATTTTTCTCTGATATCAGAAGCGCTTTCTCTTGTATATCCGTGTCTGGCCTCCAGCTCCCAGTACCCAGCTCCAGCGCTTTGTATTTGCTCGAGTTAAACTTTAGTAGTGAGTGGTAGTGGAAAAGAAGACAGACAAGAATGGTAAAACCTCATTTAGCCGAGCAAGTTACCGTTTGATAACATAAATTAAGTTAATTCACAGTGTACCAAACTAACATCATCGGGACCCCAAGCGGCCCAAACACAATGAATGAGAGTTTGTTTAATTTGTTAAATTTATGTGCAACAAAAATTTCATTTTCATCAGAGTTTGAGGTAACTCAATGGAAAAAAGTTTAAACTCTAACTAATAACGATATTATGTTTTCTGAATTGCAATATACAGTCTATTAGAAAACGTAAATATTATCAAGTTCATTATGTATATTTTGTATATATATTAACAAACAAAAATTATTGACTCCAATTAGTTCATCATTCTTGTACATGTCCGTCTCCAAAGCGGATAGTAAACACGATAAGAAGCTCCGAATAATGTTTTCTGTGTTCAGTTGCAACTTTCTGCTACTTCTCGTAAATATTGTGGAGTTTAAAAGATAAGTATGTCCCCAAACGGTTATACCACACACGCTACCAGGGGAGAGTGTCTGGAGCATGCTACCAGGGGAGAGTGTCTGGAGCCTACTACAGCCCCTCATGTGGCAGCCACTACCAGGGGACAGTGTCTGGAGCCTGCTACCAGGGGACAGTGTCTGGAGCCTGCTACAGCCCCTCATGTGGCAGCCACTACCAGGGGACAGTGTCTGGATCATGCTACCAGGGGACAGTGTCTGGAGCCTGCTACAGCCCCTCATGTGGCAGCCACTACCAGGGGACAGTGTCTGGAGCCTGCTACAGCCCCTCATGTGGCAGCCACTACCAGGGGACAGTGTCTGGAGCCTGCTACCAGGGGACAGTGTCTGGAGCCTGCTACAGCCCCTCATGTGGCAGCCACTACCAGGGGACAGTGTCTGGAGTATTATTGTGCCTGGAGTATTATTGTGCCTGGAGTATTATTGTGCCTGGACACTCAGACCTCGCTGGAGTGGCGCTATAGCTACTTGAACATACTTGGCCAGTAATGGCACTCGATGCATCCCTTCTCATGTACAGTTCCTCAGGATCATTGATATTAATTCTCATGCAAATGTTTCTTGCATGAGAAATGTTGAGGAGCTGAACGCATGATTTTATATCATTAATATTGGCATTAACTTATGTTATTTGGTTATAAATCTTAACAATTTAAATTTCCTACTTCCTCCCCCCCCCCTCCTCTAAGATCTTTTACTTAATATGGATAAAAAAGTTGGTTGACCCCAAACTCGGTTTGTTATCCAAAACTTCTCAAAATATATTTGTATTTATCTCTGAAAATTTAATTTTCTTCAAATTAATCTTTGATTTTCCTTTTCAGAGAGGGAGCGTCTGAGGTAAGTGCAACACAGTATTTGATCATCGGCTCACATGGCCGCAGACACCACCGGCTCCTTGTCATGCTCTGTGTGAAGACAATCTTGTGTTGTGCTGTGAGTGTGAGAGGGAGAAGGTTGGAGCTGTCTCACTCTTCTTAATGTTACATGAGGAAATGTATGTTTATCTCTCAGAATGTTCGGTAATACGTTTATTGCTTGTGATGTGTGTCTATGTATGTATTAACACGATGTACTGAACGGGGTGAGAATAGCTTGAGCTCCCTTTGTGTGTATTTTACCTCAATAAACTTATTTCAATTTCAATTTTCAATTAATGTTACATGGATGTGTTCATCGACTGCCGGAAGATTACGACCACCACTAATCTTGAGATGATTTCAGGGCTTTTTTTTAGTGTCCCCGCGGCCCGGTCCTCGACCAGGCCTCCACCCCC